TTGAAAGTATTTTATTTCAGCACTCTTTGAAGACAGGTATCCATTGTCTTTCAGTTTCCAGTGTTTCTGTTGAGAAGTCAACTTTCAGTCTAAATATTGCCCCTTTAAGGTAATCCATTACCCTGACCAATTTTGAGATTTCCTACTTATCTTTGGTTTCAATGGTATCACTATGATATGCTCGGGTGTGGTTTCCTTTTGGTTTATTCTGCTTGAAGTTCATAGGCAACCACAGGCACTCTGTGCTAAAACTCTATAGATCCAGACTACAGGTGCCACCTTTCACTCTACCCAGAAAAGACCATTAGTTTCCAGCATGGCCATGAAAATCATCTCTCTGTGAAAGTATCCTGCCTGCCAAACCCAGAGGAGTTAAACAGTAATTCAGCTTGGAACTTGAATTTGAGCCTAGGACTCCTGGCTCCAGGATTCATGTCCATGCTGCTTCATCATGAATGCTAGCTGGAGGTCATTTATCTTCAGCATCCTGGGAAAAAAACTCTAGTCAGAGCTTCCTATTCCCTTCACCATGGGATCTGCCCTGTGTAGATAGTCCTCCCTCCTTCCTATTGTCCAAACCATTTTTGAAAAATGGCTCAGACTTTGAAGACAAATGAAGATAACAACCCCACCTCGCTCCATATTCACTTATAATTTTGTTCCTGAGGTTGTCCAGAGATACTCACAATTCAGGGCCCAGTTTTGTTTGTTTTGTTTTTCAGATACCAGTTAGTAGAGACTCCACCCTATCCCCCACCAACCACCCCCATTGTAGTAGTGGAGAGTTCTTATTGCACCTAACTGAATTGTATTTTCTGGCAAGGAGAAGGGAAAATAGGAGGCATGGAGGAGAAGGTTAAATCCTGCAGTTTGGCCATAAGCTCACTTTCACCTTCCCCATGGTCTACACCCAGGACTAGAAAATGCCCTATGGGTCATTGTGCACCCGTCACATTGGAAAAAAGTGAAAAGATAAATAATGTGCAGTGCCAGCAAGTGTGCAAGGAAACAAGCCTTGTCTCTACAAAAAAAAAAAAAAAAAAGCATGACTGATGGGATGTGAATGACTATTCCTTCTAATGAATAATTAGCTATTAAAATTAAAACTGGCTGAGTATGGTGGCTCAAGCCTGTAATCCCAGCATTTGGGAGGCCTAGGCGAGAGGATTACCTGAGCTCAGGGGTTTAAGACCAGTCTGGGCAACTTGGTGAGACCTCACCTCTACAATAAATAAATAAATAAATAAAAGCGTAGTAGTTCCAGTTACTTGAAAGGCTGAGGTGGAAGGATCACCTGAGCCCATTAGATTGAAGCTGCCGTGGCCATGAGCGTGCCACTGCACTTCAGCCTGGGTGACAGAGTGAGACCCCAACTGAAAAAAAAAAAAGTTAAAAAAAATTATGTCAGGCTCAATGATTCAGCCTGTAATCTCAGCACTTTGGAAGGCCAAGGTGAATGGATTGCCCTGAGCCTTCTCTCCCTGTGGCTGCTGAGACCACAAGGAGCCAGGGCCTCAAAGCCTTGAGCCCACCTGAGGAGGCCACACCTGCTGGGAGGGGCTCACCAGCAGGGGCCAGCTCCAGCCTCTTTGTAAGACCTAAACCAAAGCCCTGCCTTCAAGGGAACTTCAGCTGAAGGCCCTCAGGCATATCAAGGGGTTCTGCAGTGGTGATCAGAGCTCCTGGCAGAGCCAAGCCTCAAGCTGGAGGTGATTGGACATAGGCACCACTTTGCTAGGTAGTGATGGCCAGGACCCACCTGGGTCGTGTGGATTAGACAGACAGATGGCAAAGGAATATGTGTTTGCTTCCTGGGTTACTGTAACACACCACCACAGACAGGCTGCTTAAACAGCAGAAATGTGTTCTCTCCCAACTCTAGAGGCCAGAGTCTGAAATTGAGGAGATGACAGGGCCGTGCTCTCTCTGCAGACTCCAGGGCAGGATCCTTCTGCCTCTTCTAGCTCCTGGTGGCCCAGGCTTCCATAATGTGTGACTGCGTCACACTACCTCTATCTCCATCTTCATACGGCCCTCTCTGTGTCTGCCTCCAAAGTCCCTTCTTCTTCTTTTTTTTTAAATTTTTATTATAAAGATGTGGGGTACATTTCAGGGTTAGGTATATAAACATTGATCATGCAGGTACCCTTGTTGATGAGGTATGCCCCTCCCTCCCCTAGCAGTTTCCCTCAACTGCCAATCCCCCCTCCTGACAGTTTCCCACTACTACCAATCGCTTTCTTACAGCATTGTAATTATTCAGAGTCAGCTTATGAATGAGAACATATGGAACTCACTTCTTTGTTTCTGTGATAAATCACTGAGTATGATCGACTCCAAATCCATCCAAGTTGCTGCAAAATCCATATATTTGTCCTTCTTTATGGCTGCATAATATTCCATTGTGCATATGTACCATTTTTTTTAATCCAGTCCAGCTTCGATGGGCAACACGGTTGGTTCCATGTTTTTGTTACTATAAATAGCACTGCAACAAGCATACGTGTGCAGGTATCTTTTTTGTAGAATAATTTGTGTTCCTTCAGGTATATTCCCAATGGGGGATTGCTGGGTCATATGGAAGGTCAATGGCTAGTTCTTTCCGAAATCGCCACTCTGTCTTCCAAAGAGGTTGCACTAGTCTGCATTCCCACCAGCAGTGTAGAAGCATTCCTTTTTCTCCACATCCTCGCCAACACCTGTTGTTGCTTGTTTTATTAATGACGGCCATTCTTACTGGGGTTAGGTGGTATCTCAGTGTGGTTTTGATTTGCATTTCTCTGATGATGAGTGAGGCTGAGCACTTTTTCATGTGTCTGTTTGCTGCAAACATTTCTTTTGAGAAATGTCTATTCATGTCTTTTGCCCACTTTTTAAAGGGGCTGTTTGTTTTTTCCCTCTCGGCGTGTTTGAGTTCCTTGTAGATCCTAGATGTTAGGCCTTTGTCAGACATCTAGGGACCCACTCTAATCCAGTATGACTTCATCTTACCTTGATTACATCTGCAAAAACCCTATTTCCAAATAAGGTCACAGTCTAAGGCTCCAGGTTGACATGAATTTTGGGGACACTATTCACCCTTGTACCAAAGTGAATGACAAAGAATGAGCCATAGCACCTGTGAGTTCTGTGGCCTCCAGAATCACAGAGAAAACTTTGGTTTCCTTGGTTTAGATTTGAAAGCAGAAAAATCAACTGCCGTGATCGGAAATGTTTGTATCCCCCCAAAATTCCTGTGTTGAAATCTGAACTCCCAAGATGATGGTGTGAGGAGGTGGGGTCTCTGAGGAGGTGATTAGGTCAGGAGGGAGAGCCCTCATGAATGGGATTGATGCCCTAATAAAAGGGGCCCTCGAGAGACTCCTCACCCCTTCTACCATGTGAAGATGCAGTGAAAAGATACCATCTGTGCACCAGAAATTTAGCCCTCACCAAGACATTGAATCTGCCCTCACAATCTCAGACTTTGACCTTGGACTTCAAGCCTCCAGAACCAAGAGAAATAAGTCCCTATTGCTGATAAACCACCCAATTTACAGTATTCTGTTATAAGCAGCCCCAAGGCACTAAGACACAGACCCAGAAAAAAGGTATTGCCAGGACCCCGAACCAGTAGCCTCTCCTCTGAGGGGCCTGAGAGGCTGCCTGAGGTGAGGAGGGGTCCCTGGGTTACTGCAGGAATGCTCAGGAGTCTGAGGGACCCAAGTTTCAAGCCCCCATCCTGTCCCTGCCTAGAGCCCAGCAGTGACCCTTTATGGCAGCTCCACTTCCTGCAGGGCAGTTGCTGGTCGTAAAGGGGAGAGGTGAGGGGGTCCTCTTTACTCTCTTGAGGACCCTTTGCAACTCAGAGGCCTCCTGGATGCTCCATATCGCTGAGGGTCAGCAGTGAGTCCCCCTCTTGAAGGCAACTTAAGATGGTCATGCTGGCCAGGCTCGGTGGCTCAGTCTATAATCCCAGCACTTTGGGAGGCCGAGGCAAGTGGATTGCCTGAGCCCGCGGGTTAGAGACCAGCCTGGACAACTTGGCAAGACCTCATCTCTACAATAAATAAATAAATAATTAGCCAGGTATGGTAGCACGTGCCTGCAGTTCTGGCTACTTGGAAGGCTGAGGCAGAAGGATCGCCGGAGACCAGCAGGTCAACGCTAGGGTGGCCGTGAATGTGCCACTGCACTCCAGCCTGGGTGACAGAGTGAGACTTCAACTCAAAAAAAAAAAAAGATGATCATGCTGACTCAAAATCCAGCCCAAGGAAGTGACCAGACCCAGAGACACCCCAAAGGAGGCTGTCATGCACAATTCATAACCAGGAAGAAGGTGATTGTGGGGGGCTTTCAATGAAATGACCTAAGAGGGCACAAAGGAGTCACCTGGATGGAGCTGACCAACAGGAGCACAGGTACCCTGCACAACAAGGTTAAGAGGCCAGAAAGAAGTTGGAAAGAAGCACCCCTGGGGAGAGGGGCACTGGGACTCATTGTTATTTTTTCTTCATAGCTTTCTACATTTAACACATCTTCTACAATGAGCATATATTATTTTTATTATCAGAAATAAAGACTTAACAGAAGAAGAAATGAAAAGGAGCTTCACTGGGGGGCAGCCCCAACAGAACCAGAGCCCTCTCCAGGGTGGGGGCAGAGGAGGGGGCATGAGGGCTGGTCAAGAGAAGTGACCCCATCCTGGTCTGCAGCCTTGCCCAGCCAGCCAGGGAGGGGCAGTCACACAGGGCGCTGGCCCCACCACCTGCTGCTCGAGCCAGCAGTTCAGAGACCAGCCCAACAGCACCCATTTGCAGATCACAGACAACCGGAGACGTTGGACAGAGGAGACGGTCTTTCTTCCCCTCTTGCCCTCCCTCCACTGGCCACGAGGGGCCATTTGGGAGCGGAGTGATTCAGTCAGTGTGATTACGGATGGACGTGGTCAGAGAAGGGGGGCTAGAACCCATCTACCCTCCCTATAGGGCTCCAACGTGAAAGAACTGCAAAGAAACATCTGCGTGGACACAAACATCATCCCTTTATTTCTCTTCCATAAGCCAGAAAGCAGGCAGTGAGTGGGTGTTAAAGAAAAACCCTGTTACAGAGAACAAATACCCTGGGTTATCCGAGGCTCCACTGTGCGCATCCAGGTCCCCCTGCTGCCCCCATCTGCCTTGGCCCTCTCCCCTCACTGTGGGCGGCTGCCGTCTTTCAAAGAGCAGCCCGCCTGCTCTAGGGCACGATGATCAGTTTGTCTGTCACTCAGCAGGGTGCCCCATCCCACTTCCCCCTCCGAAACACTTATCAGGAGGCTGGATGCAGAGCCCCTTCCACCCTGGGGTCAACTAGCCTCCTGGCCTCCCACCTCGTCCTGGGACACCCAGGGACACAGGCTAGGCTGAGTGCCCATCAGGAGGGCCAGCAGCACCCCTGAGGCTTGGGGCCCCAGTGGGGCAGCTGGGGGTCTGGGGGCACATTCTTCAGGACATCTCGCAAGGAGAACATGCAGAAGGAGATCTCCTCATAGGAGGTCCTGGCCCCGCTCTCGAACAGACAGCCGAAGGCCATGGCACCCATAGGGGCAAGCCTGATGGATGCCAGGTCGGAGTAGCCACTGGGGCCCTCGTAGATCACCCAAGGCTCTGTCCAGCCATGGGGGTCCAGTGGGGACCGGCTCAGGTGAATGCCCATGTGGAGCCGGGCCCGGCGTCCCGCAGGGTGGGAATACAGCAGCCACGTGGGGCTCTGGGATGCGATGGAAGGCACTGGAAGTGCCAGGGCCCAGGACCCCATGTCCCCACCGAACCCAGGCCCAGGGCCAGGCTGCCCAGGGCCATCCCCCTGTGATTGTGAATGACTGAAAGGCCCAACAGGCACTTGGCCTCCAGTGGCGCCTCCAGCAACCTCCTCTCGGGCTTCCTGGACTCCAGAACAGAGGCGTGGAGGGTTGTGGAGACTCTTGGGGCTCTTGGACCATCCCTCATCCCAAGGCCTGCTGGAGGGTGGGGCTGGGAAGCCCACAATGCTGCCCTGGCAGCCCCGGGCAGTCTCAGGCAGGGTGGGCACAAGCTCTCCCGGCAGGAAGGAGGTGCCCTGGTCGGCGCTGAGCGCCTGCACACGGCTGCCCAGGGGACTCCGGGCATTGCAGTAGAGAAAGGCCCCGGCCTGCCCGCCATCCACCAAGGCCAGCTGGCACTCGCCTGAGCGCAGGTTGGGCACCAGGCCTCCAGAGTGCCAGCTACGGCCATGGTCGTCGCTGTAGAAGGCGAAGGAATGAGGGCTGGTCAGGCAGATCTTGCCAAAGCACTCCCGGCGGTCCACGCGGTAGGCGTAGGCAGGCACCAGCAGGCGACCTGAGGGCAGCTGGACACCATGGCCTGGGCCCACAGCAAACGTGGCCCAGTCTGTGGAGAGGAGGTGCAGAGGCAGGAGGAGTGCTGGTTACCCAAGAAGGGAGACAGTAACAGGCAGCGCCAACGTGGGGGCAGAAAGATGGAAGAAGGAGGGCACACGCCTTCAGTAAGGGCAGCACCCACACTGACAGCCCCTCCACACAATTCATCCCAGCAGCTCTGAGACCTCCTGGACTGGACAAGCTTCTCACAGTCTTTAGCAAGTGCCCAGGAACCCACTTGGTCACATTCTTGGCATGGGTGGCCACAGAGAAACCTGGTGTGAGCACTGCCCGAACAGAGAGAGCACAGGGCAGGTGGAGGCATGAGGATATGCAGGGTGGGGTCTTTGGATCAGCTGTTCGTCCTGTCCACTCCCAGAGGATGTAGCACCCACATACCAGAGCCGAGTGGTCATGGAGGGGTGTGGGTAGGCAGCTTCTGGGGCACCAGGTGGCTGGAGGTGACCAATGCCCATTTGTTGGGACCAGAGGGTCAGGGAATGCGGAAAGGGGACTGTTGGTCACCTCTTGGCTGGAGGCCCAGTGCGAGGATGGGGTGGCCTGGAGATCTCCAACTGGAAGCCCCCCATTCCATGTGGGCTGTGGGTTGACTGCAGGGACAGAGCCCAGGCCCCACCCTGCCCACCTACCCTGCACGGTTCCGCCAATGGCGTCCTCGGTAAGGTCTCTGACACTACTCCACGTGAGGCCAACGTCGAAGCTAGTCACACAGCACAGGCGGGCCGCGTTCCTGCCTGTGGCAATCTGCACAGCCTCAGGCGTGTGGCCCAGCACGGCGATGAAGAAGAGGAAGATGGTGCCCGTGCCAGCATCGTGCACGGGGCAGGGGTTCATGGACCGGTGCTCCTCCAGGGCCGCTGTCCCCAGCACGCGCAGGGCGCCCCACTGCCCATGGGAGGAAGTGCCACTGGCCAGATGTCCAGGGGCCTAGGCCCTGTCCCACAGGGGCACCTCAGGGCAACTGAGCCCCAGCATGCCCACCTCCATCACAGGTGCCCACCCCCTGCTCATTCAACCACTCACCCGCACAGAGCCCCCCGTCAGTGTGCCCCTCCTCAGCACCAGGCGGTGAGCATGGGAGTCATCAGGGCTGATCCGCTGCTCCACAAAGGCCAGCAGTGTGGGCCCAGGGGGCACGGAGAGCAGTGCAGGCACACGGTAGGTCAGGCCCGACCTTTCTCGCTGGAAGAGCACCGTCCGTGCAGGGGCTGCCATGCTCTGTGGTCAGAACAGGGCCACGGGTCAGTGAGACAGGTTCAGGGAGCCTATGCCTGCTCGGCTCACATCCAGCCGGACTGGAGGGAGCTCAGCAGGGGCAGGACTGTTCCACCCACACCTGGGGTCCTTGCCCTGTCTCCAGCTCCCTCGCCCCAGATCCAGGGCAGCCCCTCCTAGCCCATCTCCACAGCCTCTGACCCTAAGTGTCTGTGGAACCGGTCCCTTCCCCTCTGCACACAGCTCAGGGAACTGGGCAGGCTAGTTGGTGCTGGGATGCTGGGGAGGCTAGCCATAGAACCCCAGGATCCTGGCAGCCATGTGCCCAGGACACACGGTCGTCACAGAATTCACCTAGCAGAGGCCATGTGGACAATCAGGGCCCAAAGTTTTGAACAAGGAGGGGATTTGTGTCTCCAATACAGGGGCTGCACCACCATACAAACCACACAAACAGGGCACACACAGAGGGGAGCACATGAAGACACAAATACGGGGACACACAAGTACATATGAAGACATGCCAAAGGGGAGTACACAGGGACACACGCACACACAGGGACACAGGGACACACACAGGGACGCACATACACAGGGACAAGCACACAAGAAGACATGACAGAGGTGAGCACACAGGGACACACACATAGGAACCAGGAAGGGGAGCACCAGGAATCTCTTGCAGAGGAGGGGCCTGAACTCCAGGCCCCAGCAGACATCTTGGGGGACGGGGAACCAGCCAGCTGGTCCCTTGGGCTGCCTAAGCAGGGGTGGGGATTTGGGGAGGGCCAGTGGAGCTGCCACCACCTGCAGGGTGCCCCCAAAAGGCCCCCATGTACATCCAAGAGAACCAGGAGCTGTGCAGGCCAGAGGAGCAGTAAGAGGGACCAAGAGGAGGCCAAAGAGGTCACATGCCCCCATCCCACCCCTGCCACCTCCCAGCAGAGAGGAACCACTTGGGAGACAGCTGAACTTGAGATGCAGCTTTCTGCTGGTAACTTCAGGTGTGTTCTCCAGAGCAGCGACCGGAGGAAAATGAGAGACTCTGCTTGAGTCCCTCAGTCCCTCCCACCCCACCTGAGTCCCTCCCCCTCCATGAGCTGATGCACACACATGGGATAGAGCCGGGGCTGGGGAGGCCAGGTGCTTCCTAGAGGCAGTGACCAGGGGGTCAACAACATCCTGGTGACTGAGTAAGGATGGAAGAAGTTCCCTCCCTGTGGCTGTGGCTATCCTGCAACCTGTCTCCATGGTCCTGCCCCTCATTGCACCTGCTTCCACTTCTTAAACCTCTGCTGGTCAGCCACAGGCCAGGGTTCCTGCAGGGGATGGGTGCTCTGTGATCAGGCCCCACTGAGGACAGTGCCTTCAGCTATGTCCTCACCCCTACCTCTAATGTATCCTCCACCTGAGAGGCCCTCACCTGGGGGCACCTGAAAAACACTCCCATGGTAGATAGAAGCCCTGTGCCCAGAGTGTGACCAGAACAGTCTTTCTGGGAATCTGCTCCTGTGCCAGGTTCAGAAAGGCAGAGACTGGGTGAGGGTGTACAGGTGAGGGCACACATGAGGTCTGCTGGTCGCAGGCCGGACCTCTTCGTCTGATTTATACACAGGCAGGCCAGGGCCATGAATGGGTGCTCACAGCCCTACATAAGGTGGTGGGGAGGAGCTCAGACGAGTGAAGGGAGATCCCTACCGCAGGACTTTGAGTGGGCAGGGCCCACCGCCAGATGACTGGGCTGGTCACACAGGGGTAACTAAATAGGTCTGCACAAGGGAGGAGGGAGCCTTACCTGGCACCATACCAGGCCAGGGCCAAATCCCTGCACACAACAGGGACCCCGAGTACATTTATGAGACAGGTGGGAGAACGGTTGGAGAACGGGTAAACAGATAAACGCTCGTATAAAACAAGAGCAGGTCTTGGCCGGACACCTGGCAGTGCCGTGTCCACCTCCACCCACCCCTGCCCAGGGCTGCCAACTCTCACCCTCAGACAGCACACTGGGCCCTCCCTGCTGCCTACCCCACCACCAGCCCCCTGGCTTCTGAGAGCAGCTTCCTGTCTCCTGCCAGCCCCTGGCTCTGCACTCAAAGGGCAATTGTGCCCAACTGGGAAGCAGGTGCAGGTGCCACGTGTCTCTCTGGGCATAACAAGCACAAGTGAGACATTCTCTCTACACTTGGCTGGCTCCCCAGGGCCCGGGACCACAGGAGCAGGTGTCAGCACACCCTGCAGAAGCAGGGGGTCCAGGCCCACCCCAGCCTGGGGACCACAGGAAGGAAGAAGGCTCCGGAGACCAGCTGTTCACTCCCCTATCGGACAGAGGGGAAACTGAGGCCACAGAGGGAATGGGGCTGCCACCCACTTGGGGCATCCCTGCCAGGGCCAAACCTCAGGTTTCCACAGAGGCTGGAAGTCCAGGGGAGGCCCCTCAATCTGAGGAGGCACATCCCCTCTGCCCTCCACCACCGTGGCCAGTTCTGCTCAACTGGGACAATTCAGTATGTCCTAGGGGTTTGGCTTTCCCAGGATGTCTGTGTTCTGCCATTAACTAGTGTCCGCCTACCCTCTCTGACAGAGTCCTTCTTGGGGGCATCAAGTCACAGAAGGCCTAGGAGGAGAACCTCCAAGGAAACCTGGTCTTCTGGCTCCTGGACAAGTTGTAGGGGATGGTCACAGATGTCCCTCACGGCCAGCCCCGTGTGGATCCCTGAGGCCAGTTCAGATCCTTCCTTCACACCCTCCAGGGTCATCACCTCTTGTCACTGGGACCTGTCAGATGCAGGGCAGCATCAGCTTGTCGAGGGACATTAACATGTCCGCATAGAATGCAAAAGCCCTCTGCACAGAATTCGGGCAGAGGGGCCCTCAGACAGCTCTGTGACCCCCATCTGAGCCCTGGATGGGGTGAGGAGCATCACCAACAAGCCCATCTGCAGAAATATGGGGCCAGGCCGCCCAGGATGGGCCCCCACACCCAGTCTGCATCTGTCCCATGCTCTGAATCTCCTCCCAGGACTTACCATGTGGGCCAGGAAATCATCCCATCGGAGGGATCCACGTGGGACCCCTGGCTGAAGGGGCCTTTGGGATCCATGCAGCCCACCCCTCGTTTTGGAGTTGAGGAGCCACCCCTGGGGCCTTACAAGGGGTTGGACTTATCCACTGCCCCCAGACAAAGAGGATGGGGCGATGCCCTAAGAGTTGGGTCCTAACCCCAAGGGCTAGGCAGGGGTGAGGGCGCTGCAGGGAGTGTACAGGTTGGGGACTCACCGGCCACCTCGGGAGGGCTGCAGAGCTGGTTGTGGGGCGGCTGCCTCGCCCGACCCAGAATAGAGACAAGGGCCTGCTATGTGGGCGGCGAACTGGGGAGTTGGCCGAGTCCCAGAGCCACGTCAAGACTGTGGACCCTCCCATGGTGGGGCAGCTCCACAGCAACCCAGAGCAGAGGCCTGGGGGTGCAGGATGGCACCCGGGGCAGTGCCAAGACTGGTGGCAGACAGCCCAGGCCAGCACAGGGTTTCTTTGGCAGGTCGACTCACTCACTCGACTGGGATGCGTGGGACATAGGGGCCACTCTCCAACAGAGGGTACGCTGGGAGTGCTGGCTGCAAGACAGGCACAGTTGACCTCCCAGAGAGAAGCAAGAGCCAGCTGCTCTAGAGATGCCTGCACGGGTAAGCACAGGCTCTCCTCTGGGCTTCCCAGGGGCCAGAGACTCCCTTCCACACCTCAGGCATTACAAGGCCCCAGCTCCACGTCCAGGCTCTTGAGCCCACCTGGCACCCAGCACCCCACCCCAACTTCCTGTGCCTCCCAGGGCCCAGAGTGACCCCCTCCACAGCACAATCACCCCCCAGAGCTCCTGCCAGCCCCATTCACACTAGTGCACTGCAGGCCTGCCATCTCTGAAGCATCTTTGGTAACCAATGCCCAAATGACTCCTGCCCAGGTCAGAATCTCGGAGGAGGCCACGGGTACCTGGCACTGTCAGGGAAAGGGACTTTCAGAGGGGCCAGCCCCCTTGAGCCCCAAACACCCTCCCTTCTCACTGCCCCCTCCCTTCCACGTGCAAGGTATCATCAGCCACTTCTGAAACCTCAGTGGGAACACAGGCTCTGGAAAAATGAAGAATGATGTGAATTCCAGGCTGAAATGATAAACCTGCTGGGTCCTTCAGGTCCTTGAAGCCTGAGGAAATTCACGGACAGGAGCGGAAAGGGGGCCGACAGAGGATGTGGAAGGGAAGGATGCAAGGAGGAGTGGGCTCCAGCTCATCTGCATTGCCCCTGTGGGCTGCTCATCACCATGTCCATACCAGCCACAGGTGGGGACAACCAATTCCAGGTGACTTGGACATTAAATGCATCCCTTCTGCCCACAGTCGTAGGTCCCGAGGTAGGGGCAGATGGATGGGATGGGACAGTCCCTCAACTCTCAGAAGCCCCACCCCAACCAGAATGGGAAGGCCATCTCCCTTCTTCCATTCCCTAAGCCCAAGGCTGGCAGAGGCCAACCAGGGCTGCCCACTAAGCACTCAGGCTCACAAGCCCAAATTGTCTTGCAAAGCCCTGTTACTGGGTCACCCAAAGGCAGAGGCCGGGTCTTGGGTAGGGCCATCTGACCAGGGTGTATCCTCAGGGCCACAGGGGTAAGGGGTGACCCACAGATAGCCCTTGCTCCCTCTGCTCAGGGGTTTTATTGTTTAGTTCATTGTCAGCTTTTCTCAACCTGGAGATTTCACATAAAAACTTGTACTTCCAGCTTCTCTTAAAAAATCAGGTCTGCCCAGGCTTCCCCCACTCCCACTGGACATCTCTTCCTGGGACAAGCTACTGCCTGCAAAGGGCATACCCCATCCTGGACTCACCCACCCTCAACCATCGCCCACGGCTCTTCAGAGGTCCCTGGCATGCTTAAGGGATTCTCCCACTATGCTGCGCCTCACATTGGCAGCTGCTTGGGGTCCGCTGATCCCATATTACAGACAAGGCTCAGAAATGCCCCAACCTAAAGAAGTTCCAGTCCCCCTCTGTGCTCCCAGCTTTCACTGGCTACAAAGAATTGCAGTGTTTCAAACTCTTTTTCAAGGACAACTTAGATGGCTGTTTTCAAAATCTCTATTGCAAACTGCCTGCAATTTGACATTGTAATAAATACCCCCAAGTTTTTCTCTAAAGAGACAGTACCAGTTTACATTCCTGCCATCCTTGAAGGCAAAAACAAAATGAGGTTGAACTGCTACTGCAGCTTCAATTCTGTGACTCCTGTGCAGCTGAAAGCAGGGTCCAGGCCTGGGGCTGGCATGGCAGGACAGGGATGCAATCATAGCGACCAGCTGAGGACCCACCCTCTCCCAGAACTACCCGGTGCTCAGTGCCCAGAAGCAGCGACGTGATTTATCTTGGATTCACATAGGCCCACACGTGCTCATGCGGGCCTGGTTTCTCTTGGGTCTGTGGATTCTGTCTGACGCCCTGGGAGTAACGCGGGGCTGAAAGCCTTGAGTCTTTCTTCAACTCAGGGAAATTTTTCTTGCTCCTTGTTTGACCTAGTTTCTCATCGATCGTCTTCCTTTGTATTCTGGGTCTCCTGTAATCTGCACAAGGGCCCATCCCAGACCTGCTCTCCCTTCTCCACATCTCCTCGAATCTCCCTCCTGGCACCCTCCACATAGACCATGGCAGACTCCAACTCTCAGCCCTGCTCATGCCATGCTTCACAGTCTCTACTCTGTTCTAAAAGTCATCTCTTCAATATCCCCATGTCACTTATTCACAAATTTGTTGCAATCTCACCTCCAATCTCACTGAAAGTTTTCTCTTAAAGTTCTCTCCATTACATTGGCACCCAAGGTTCTGCCTGTTCTGACTGTTGGGGGAGGGGGATCTCCTCGTTCTCTGAAATGCCGAGAAACGCGGGGACACGCCTGGACATGAAAGTCTAACCCCGCTGCCAAGGTCTCAGGGCTGAGGGCCCCGATATGGAAGGAAGTCCCCCTCCCTCCCACAAGCAAACAAGCGCAGGCCAGACGTCTAGGCTGAGCCTCTGAGAGTGGCTACACTTCCTGGGGGCTTCAGACACCCACATTTTCCGGAGCATGTGCAGCCCACTCTACCCCCTTGCTGTCCTCTCCCTGGCACCGCCCCCACTACTCTCCCAGGCACTAGATGCGCTTGGCGGGCTTGTCTGGGAACTGCAGGGTGTACAGGTGGGCCATGTACTGGAGCTCCGGCATCGCCATCCTCTGACACATGCGCAGGGTCTCGTTTTCCAGGTCCGGTCTGAGGTTGTAGCCCAGAATGTCGGCCACGCCCGACTGGTAGGGGCGCAGACTCGGGTCGATGATCTGCTTCTTGTTCTTGGGCACGCCGTCCCGCAGGCACTGGGCCGCCAGCTCCAGCCGCCGGGCGCGCAGCCGTGCCAGCTCC